GTGCATGCTTTATGAGAGCACACAGAACTCTCCCTCGATCCTTTCAATTTGCATCATTCCTTCCAAAATAACAGTTATTGTAATTTGTATTTTATAAAAGAAAAAAACTTGCTGTGTTGGAGATACAGTATAGAGCACTTGAGGATTGGCAAAACACTTGAGAAGTGTTGTGAAGCACTCCACTAATGTGTTGTGCTTCTCCTAACACTATTCTCATTTTCTGCCAATCCCAGTGTGCTTTATAACTGCACACAGCACACATGCTCATTTTCTTCCATACTAGTGCTGTATCCTGCCCAATGCTGTTTATCTTTACCATCATTAGGTGTGTCAGCAGAATTAACAAATGTAATGATGAGAAGAAATTCATCTGTGGGAACTCCTTTCTGGATGGCACCTGAGGTATTAGAAATGACATTTTTTACCCTGTTATATCCACATTAAGATGTTTTCTTGAGCATTGGTTGTAATCAAAGAAACAATACTCAAGGAAATGAAATGGAGGTCTAAAACTGGAAAACACATCAGCTGATTTGGCCGCATTCCCTAAAAGTACAATGCATATTGAAATGGAATTCTTCCTGATGAATTCTACAATAATTTACGATCAATTTAAATTATGAAGAATTCACGTTTTCATGTGTCCTCTTGGCAGAATCATAGGTAATGCTTATGTATCAAAATACAGTGTTGAATCCTCAATTTCATGATTGGTTGACCTTGCATTTGTTACGAAGGTTAACTCAGCTGGAAGCCAAGTAAAAAAAAGGCCTATTCCATAATCTGTCTGTCGTGGCTGATATGAAACTTTTAAAAATTATTTAACTATAAGCGGGTTAAATAAAACATGTAATACTATTAATATAACCATGCTCCAGAATATTCCATTCTGYAAATTAGGAGTTTTGATACCATATTTGGAGTTTTAATCTTGATTCAAGATGGCCACTTTTATCACATATAAATTTCGCTTAACCTAGCTGGCTTTTAGAAGAAATTTACTGACAAATTTGGGAATATAGTTTAGTTTAGTTTTGAAAGTTTTTAAAAAGATTATGATTTATGCAGAAGGACGTCTTTGACAAAAAATGATTTAAAATATTGAAATGTTCTGGAGCATCTCACTGAAATGATGTTTGGCTGTTACACATTTTAATCCCTTATGAGTTTCTGGTGTTATTTTATTTCCTTAACAAATAAAATAGCTTTTTCCGTGCTCTGTTCAGTTATGAGCATGCAGGAAGTGACGTAAGCACATTTTGAATGCTGTTGGTGCTTCCTTTTTTTTAAAGTGCCGTCATTTCCTTATACACTTTACAAAGTTTCCTGCTTGTTCACAGCTAGTCAGCATATGAATCCTATTTAGGATATATATATAACTAATATGATATAATTTAGTAGTTTATGAACATGACAAAATAAATTATCTTTTAATGTTGGAGGTACTTTATTGATACCTAATCCTTATTGTTATGCAATCATTGTTGTTAAACAAAAAAATTTCTACCCTTCGATATGGAGAGGCAACATGTGCATGCATGTCAAACACGTCTTACGTATACTGTTATATTTCTTATTTTTCCTCAAGGTAATAGCATGTGAACAACAACTAGAATACAACTATGACCTGCGGTGTGACATCTGGTCTCTTGGCATAACAGCTATTGAACTTGCAGATGGATATGCTCCACTCTCTGATGAACATCCAATGAGAGCTCTCTTTAAAATTCCAAGGTAATGATGGACAGTCTAGTATTAATGGGGAGCTTGGGTGGTGTAGCAAATTGAGAGCACTCAATTTGGTATGAGTAGAGTTGTTTGTAGTTTCTCTCTGGTGCTTTGAGGGGTTTTTTTTCCGGGTTCTCCAGGTTTTCCTCACATTGTAAACAATAAACTTGTAAATTTGACCTGGAAGAGTCTTACTATATGTGTTTTAATTAACCCCACAAAGTTGTGTAGTTTTTCTAATGGACTGTTGCAAATCACCTTACCGAGTGTCTTAAATATACCAGTGATCCATTTCTCAAAATCTATGGTAGTGAAAAATGCTGGAAGATTTGGCAATGAACACTATTATAAAAAATGAATTAAAATACATTTAAATTTGTAATTTAAAAAATTTTACTTTTGCAAAATCTATGGTAGAGAAAAATGCTGGAAGATTGGGCAATGAACACTATTATAAAAAATGAATTGAAATACATAATTTAAATTATTTTGTGATTTTTGAAAAATTGTCACTTTTTCAGGAACAAACCACCAGGGATGAAAAACCCTGAAAAGTGGTCACATGACTATAGAGACTTTATTGCAAAGTAAGTTTGGTTAAATTTTTTATTTTAGTCAACAGTAACTTTTGCAGGAAATGCAGTAGTTCTAGTGATGCTAGGCATGGAAAGTTTTCGTTTCTAAGATATTATTTACAACTACAGATACTTTTACTTAGCCAGTCTCACTTGGCTTTGGGAGCATTCTTCATTTATGAGGTGGGACTATGGAAATTTTGAGAGGGGGCCACTAATTTCCACCAAATTTAGGAAGGAGGGGAGCAAATAAAGTGTTCTAAAATACAATTAAATATTAGGCTTGCAAAGGGGTGGAAACCAAAACTCAAAATTCATATAGCCCCCGCAACCCATTGCATGTAGTGGTTTACCGCTCGCCTCTCACCATTATGGTCCAGGTTTGAGCCCAGGCTTGGGCTAGATCATATGTGAGTTGATTTTGTTGGATATGTTGTTCTCTTCCTTGCCACGAGGGTTTTTCTCTGGGTTCTTCAGTTTTTGTCCCTCCTTAAAAATCAACATGTGAGTTGAATGTTGTGTTGTAAATAGTGAATGTAGGGGTAGTATGTGTGAAGGGAATCTTATGGAAGAGCCCATACAGGAAGTGATATAAAAATAAATGAACGGTCTCTTAAAAATAGATATCTCTTTTTAACTTTAAGGTGTGTTGTGAAGGATTTTGAAGAAAGACCCTTTGCCTCTGATCTTCTTAAACATCCATTTCTAAGTTGGGTCCCTACAAAAACAGAAGTGGTAAGTGTTAACATTGGCCTTTACTACCATTGCATGGCTTTCTCTAAGTTGCAATCTTGTAATCGTTGGAGTGACCCAAGTGAAGACATTCCACCCGACCCACCCCTCCGTCGTCGTTCTACCATTTACATCTTAATACACGTTTCTTTTCTTGGACACATAATTGCCATATAACAAATTCAAAAATAAAAAAGCTGAAATTTAAATCAGTTAAGGAAATTTATAAACGAAATCATCACCTTTTAATATTTTTTTTTCAACATTTTCTTCACACTCGATAATTACAAAATTATGATAAAAATATTCTTTAATCGATTATATTGTGAAAAATTTAGACTGATTCCATAAGTCGTAGTTTTCGCTCCTTTGTGGCCCTTGGTCGCTCAACTAGGTGTGTGAGGGATATCCAGAATCGACAGGTGAGCGAAAACACCGGATTATGGAATTTGTCTATGAAAAATTTTGATTTTTTATTAAAAAAGTTTCAAGGAAGTTTTTTCTTTTAAATATCGCATCGTAGATTTTTATGTAAAGGATTTCATTTACGCTCTCTTGATTTTGACGACATTGTCAACAACATTAAAAAGGAAAAAATTATCAGTAATTCAGTCAGTGAAGTCTTAAAATATTTGAAAATTTTATTTCGTGTTTTGTCAGCTTATAAATATTTTCAAATTGTTTTTCGAAGTTGTTTGTTTATTCAGAACTTTTGACTTTAGTTCCATTGGTTACAGCACCCATGCTGTTTATCGATAATAGGTGTGCATAAAAATAAAGATGATTAGATTCGCCGGATTTTTGGGATTTTGGTGGAAACCTCTAGACCCCAACTGACGTCATCACGAACACTGGCATTATTTAATGCTCAGTCTTTGAAGCGATGAATTTAATCACGGCTTAATGACCAAAACCCTTATTAATTTTAACTGGATCATAGTGAGACCCAAAGTGAAAAGTAACTAGACTACGACTAGATTTTGGCGCCATAGTAATTAAGCTTCGCGGGGAAAAAAAACGCTAAAGAATTGGAAGAATTTTGACTTTGTAATTATTAGCGCCAGTGGATCGGAGTGTTTGTGTAAAATTGTAAAGCGAGCGCTTAGGGGCTTTTCTCAATGGCTTGTTAAGTGCTTCAAAATGGACCATTCTGCTTACATCGAAAATATCTCACAGTTAAACCGAAAGCTTCGGGGAGTAATGGATTCTCAGTATCACGAAGAAGATGGAATCATGGATGAAGTCAAACATGAGAAAGATTCAGGCGAAGGCAAAGTCTACACGTAAGTTATATATAAATATATAAATATATACATAAATATTTGATTCACAAATGGTGAATATCCTTTCTTGTACATTAAAATACAACTCTAAAATAAAAACTAAGATTTTACTTGCTTGACGGTCCTTTTGGCTTAGAATTTCAGCCGTTTTGTAGAATTTTCTTATAGTTTCAACCTCACTTCATCAAATACCTGACGTTGCAATTTAAAAAAGTTTCACTAACTTTGTGAATATTTCTTTGAAAGTTTATTAAATTTGAAACCTCTATTTTTGACTAAAAATTCTGAGAATTTACGTAAGAATTGATTTTTAAAACTCTCTTCGCTAGAATTTAATAGATTTTTAAGTTCTAATTAAAAAAAACCTTAGTTTAATTCCATTCCTCATTGTTGAATCGTAACTATTATTGTCCATATCGTTTGATAAATGTATTTAAAAATTTTATATATGCACTATACTGCATACTCTTGATATAAAGAATCTTCAGAATTAAGTAAACATCGTTAGTTGGAATTTCATGTAAGATTGCCGAATTCCAATGCATCGTTAAACACCATTCGCGAAGTTTTAAATACATTAATCTCACTTTAGACAGCTTAATTGTATATCATATGGCTGGGGCATATCAAGTTTGTATCCGATTTAACCAGACGAACAATATCTGTTTTTTTTGTTCATGATATTGTTTAAACTTTTTCAGGGTAGAATATTTTTATCTTTACTTTCGTCAAAGGATAAGAAGATTGATATAAAAAAATTAGAATGTTAGCGGCGACTTTCTGATGAGATTATTTTTTCGTTTGGCTAAAATAATTAGACAAATTCACTCAAATTCCAGTTTTTTATTTAGTATTCAAGACTTTTATAGAAAAAAAGGTTTAAAAACGGATATGAATTATATCATTTTCAAAATTTTTTTTTACTGGGATATTTTAAAATAATTTCAGTTTTTCAATTAAAATATTTGAGCCGCTTAATCAACCATCCGTCAAACACGATCGGTTGATTCTTTTACCTATGACGTCACGACCTCTTGCTCAGAGACACGTATTTTTAGTTAAACACAAAGATAGGGCCACTTAATGAAATGATGAAACCTTACTAATGCATAGATCTACATCTATTTTGACTATAGAGCTTTACTTTTATTAAATTAAGAGCAAATCTTTCTAGGTATAATGCAACGAGACGCTCCTGAAGCGTGCTCTGGGTTGCCCAATGTGCTGGTGTGCTGCAGCTTATTTAACACCTTATCTTTGTTATGTACCGCTTTTTGGTAGGAGGGGGTACTTTGGAACATTTTAGGTGTATTTTTCTTTCAGAACTTCCGAACACTTATTTTTTTCACGTTAAATTTATTCAAAAGTGTACGCCTTTTAAATGTGTTTTTTTAAAAATAAAAATGTGCCGCTTTTGTATATCTTTAAACCAGTGTAGCGGTATGGCCCTCGATTAAAACTATACAGATGCGGTTTTGTAACCGGAGAAAACCRACGTCACTAAGTTTTTTTAATTAATTAACAGGCTCCATCTAAAATTACGCTGACAACAACTAACTTGACCCAAGACCACAGGTAGCCCAAGCTTGGTTTCTGTGGTGTCTATGTTATAAGGAAGTTTCAGTGATTTTATTGAAATTTTTGAAGAATGCAAAAAAAAGACAAAAGAAAAAAGAAAAAAAAAAAGGCATTTTACGACTGGGCTGCCACAGGCCACCCAGTAAATAGGATATAGACATATGGTCTTGAATCGGTCATGGCAACAAACTACATATGTTAGCAGTAAAGAGAGTTTGAAATTTCTCTTTAAGCAATTTTTTGCATGACATTTTTGGCTTCGAAAGTAACTTAAGTATGCTATTGGTTTCTAGGGGGAAAAACGTCCATAAAAGACCCACTCACAGACGAAGCAAAGACATGCTTCTGGTAGATGACTTGACCACCCTTCCAAGCCTGACAGACGTAAGTTTCCTACGCCTCTTTTGTTAGTGTGGTAAAAGCTTTGCTTGACGACATTATCAACCACTATCGTCATCATCGACGTTTTTTCAGTTTCAGACCAAGTAGTAACCCTTCCCCTCATTGGAAAATAGGAAAGGGGTCAAATAAACTCCTTTGGGACCGAATGGTCCTTAGAATGATATATGTTGATGGGACTCCTGTGGTTTTGTCGGGAACAGTTTCCCAAAAACGCGCGCGCTCAATCCTCCAACTTAGGGCCCTCTCCATTCAACTGCTTCCATTGGTTTGATCTGGTTTTCTTTTGTGCCTCTTCTAGCAGCACTATTTCACATACAACAATATAGTCAGGCTCATTTGTATCTACTACTGACCCTCGGCTTATTAATACAAATAAATCATCGTCTCCCAACAATTAGAGAAAAGCTGCAACGAGTCGACGTACGTTGCTCGTTCTAAGACCAGCATTCGCCAAGCAAGAGCTGAGCATCAGAGCATATCTATACTCCTCGCTCTTGCTTGAGAAGAGCTGCAACATGATGCAGGCGCAATTTTACTTGAGGAATTTCCATTTCATATCTCTTGGAAAAAAGTTCTCTTTTTCAATAAAACAAGCAAAGAAATCTTCAAGGGAATGATGTATAACCAGAATAACGTTTGCTACTCACCTCGAAACAGATCCTATTTTTAATTTCGTATTACGAATTATTACTGAATAGTTTAGTCAATTAATAAAGGTTTATTGAAGTCCAGTTTAATGTTGTTTTACAGGAAGTGATTTTGTCTCATTTACTGGAGAGATATCTTGGCCACCAAATCTACACCTACATTGGTGATATCCTGATTGCAATCAATCCACTGCAGACACTCAATATTTATAGTAAAGAGGTGAAGAGCAGTATTTACAATTTATTAGATATTGATTTATTTCATAAATCAGTTGTTTTACCTTTTTCACTTACCCGTGTCTCTACTTTGTAATCATTTACCTTCATCCATCCATCGATGCATCCATCCATCCATCCATCCATCCATCCATCCATCCATCCATCCATCCATCCATCCATCCATCCATCCATCCATCCATCCATCCATCCATCCATCCATNCCATCCATCCATCCATCCATCCATCCATCCATCCATCCATCCATCCATCCATCCATTGGTTTTGTTTTTCCTTTACTTATTTCATTTGTTTCTTCTTGCTTACACAATTTATAGCACTCGCTGGCTTATCGATATGCTGAAAAACAAACACTACCTCCTCACATCTTCATGGTGGCAAGTATGACGTACAGAGCGATGATTCACAACCAGACGCCCCAGGTATTTAAATTTAACTTTCAAAACTTAACACCCATAAAAATCCGGAGAACCTGAGAAAAATCTCGAGACAAGGGTGACATCTACACATCATGCTCTATTTATATGTAGCTTTTTGCAGGAATCGAAGCAATCTGAACCGTAGAACTCACTTTGTTGCTCACGCTGCGCCACCCTTGCCTTTTTATTGGAATTCTTATTTAGGAGCAGGAGAAGCTCAGTTGGTTAGTGCGCATCCTTCAGAGCTAGAGGTCCACGGTTCGATCCTCAGGATCTCCAATTCTGTTTCCAGGGCTCGAAATATAAAATCTCTTAAGCCTGCCATAGTAATGGAGCATGATAAATAAAAGGAGGTCATTGCAGTAAATTTTGCATGCCATTTTATTATTCATTTTGCAGTGCATTCTTATTTTCGCCTGGCAAACCTGACCATTAGCAGGCCGCTATTTCGAGCCCTGGTTTCGACTTCTCTCTGTCCTGCCTAGCTTTGGCTATAACAAAAGATTTAACGGCACCACAATGGCCGCCATGCTTTTGTTTTTTTAACTCTCTAGGGAATGCTTGCAACCCATCAATATGGGAGAACCCTAAACCCTAATCTCTCCTTCCCATGTGCCTTCATTATTTTTCTATTTTTTAGTGCTGTCTTATTAGCGGCGAGAGTGGTGCCGGTAAAACTATGTCTGCTAACTATCTTGTTCAACAACTGGCAGAGCTGGGCAAGGTATGTCATCTTAGAAAAGGGTTTGTACTGGGGACTTTTGATGATCATTTGGGCTATAGATTTGCTACTCCATAATATTCGATTGGTTTTTGAATGGGTCTTTTTTAAAGTCTGTTGATATGTCATTTTTACTTCGATGGCCTTTTACTACAGTGCCGTTGCATAATTTTTCGTATTTTGAGTAACCATTCTGATTGCTTCTTTGTATTTTCATTTTAAATTCCAACTTTAAATTTCCAAGCCTTCTGGCATGACCAAGACACCTATGTCTCCATTATGTACCAAATGTAATATTTGCTTGATAATGAGGATTTTAATAATTTTCCGTACCCCTCTCCCCCTACTTCCAGGGAATGACCAAATGCTGCTTTATAGAGGTTTATAGAAGTTTTGCATTATCACGTGACGGCAGCCATGTTGGATGGCTGGAACCGTACGATCGTTTTATATGAGACAGATTTAGCAATTCCCGAAAGTAAAGGGAGTTAATTGTTTTGGGCCCGGTTGTACGAAGGGTGGATAGCGCTATCGGACGGATAAATCTTTTAAATTTATTAAATAATAAATAAAAAAAATAATATTAAATTTATTGGATAAAAGCTTCAACTTATCCACTGGATAAGAATTTAACCATTGGATAGCGCTATCTACCCTTCGTACAACCGGGCCCTGCCATCTAACATAGCTTTCAGCACGTGATGGTGCAAAATCATCAAAACTATTAGTGAAGAGAAAAACGACATATTCATATTCCATAAGAAAGGGTAGAAGGTAGAATGTAAATGTAAACTCTTTCTGTCGTAAACTTTCGTGATTCACTTATCTTTGCTGTTTTCTATTTTCACATACTTGCGTTTATACTTTTCATTTATTTGGTTAACAATGATTAGAGTGATTCATTCATTATTGCTGTTTTATTCTATCAAATACTTACATGCTTTCATACTTGTCATTTATTTGGTAAACAATGATTAGGGTTGTACTTGTACTAAAAATGATAACTAAATAATTCGTATAATAAATATTAATGCCAATTAAATGATTATTCGAGACTAATGTGATATAAAATGAATGATTACATGAATGATAATCCTGTCGTCAAGCAGTAATCCTTGATCGAAGCCTAGAGAGACAAGGATCCTGTCTGCCCTTGGTGTTGATCGTGGGGATCAAAACAATAATGCCTCTGTTAAAAGATTATCGCAGTTAGTGCGCAACGAAACAAACTTATTAAAAGTCTCATGGTAGCATAGTATCAGAGGTGCGCCAAATTTCTTGCAAGTTTCATGCTAGAATTAACAGTGTTAGGCGGGCAATAGCGCTACTTTTCTTATAATGGGAAGTGTAATACTCAGTTCAGCTTTTGCGCTAGACAAGCTGCAGCTAAAATCATTACATGCGCTATAATCCAACTTGTTTTCCTGGCAATCGTGTTGTATTTCCAAGATTGCATCATGGAAAATAAACTTTTAGTCAAAAGAGGCGGGACGCAAGTTTCGGACAACGAAACATCTCTTCTTGATGTTATTTGTTTATTAATTGAATAGCACAAGGTAATGCAAAACCGCACGCATGTGAAAGTCATAATAACGGTATGAGCAGATCGCGCCGTGACCGTGACGGCGCCTGTATGGCTCAAACATTTTGACTCGATCAACGAAAATCTTGCGCGCTGTGTGTTCTCCCGAAATTCTTGTGAAATCTTCATTTACCTCAAATTAGCCTGCGTGAAATATTAGGGAGCTTAAGTTTGGAAAGTGTATGTCGGCGACGTCAACCAGAAGTATAAATAATTTCTCTTTGGGGTTCTGTTCATTGAAGATTTCATTCAAAACATTGTCAGTAAAGTCAACTCATCCACTGGGAAGACAGACTTTGATGGCGCGAAACTCCAAAGTGAAGTAATTTACACTTTCGGTTGACATCGCCGTCGTAGATTTTGCAAATCTTAATTTCCCTATTGTTCTGATCCGAGCGGTTGCGACGGGGGGGGGGGGGGGGGGGGAACCATTCTCTAGGCTTCGATTGCAGGATTGCCCACCATTAAGGCTGTTTGGCCTGTAGTAACTTCATAACCAGTGTTTTTAACATTAAATTTCGCTTTAGAGTGAAAGATTGAGCGAATCTGATCTTCCTACCGTAAATGTTGAAGATGTAAATGAATCAAAGTTAAAGTCTGTAAGTTTGTATTTGGTATGCCGATCATCGGGAATTCAGCACCTTCGCACTAAAACATCACATCTTCTCTTAAAATGCTGTTCCAGTCCAAAATTTTAGAGAACTACTTTAACACTACTAAAGACTCTAAAGAATACTAGTTCCATGGTTAAACGAAGTAAATGGTCTTAATAGCTCACACGATTAACGATATCATTGAAATATAAAATCATTAGAGATATGTTAAACTAAAGATTTAAAATTCGCATGTAAACATCGTCATTATAGCGCTTTTCTTGTTCATGCGACTTCGTGACAACTTCAAGACGTCTAAGTTTTTGGCTTCGATCGATGAAGAATTTCTGACTTAAACTGTAGTAATTTTGATTGACGGAAGCTACAAAGATAACCGGTTGTGTCTGGGGTTTTCTGGGCTGCAGTAACAGGAGAAGCGCTGTATTTAAAATTCAACATCGGTCGACTTAAGACTATTGCACCCACCACCAAATTGTAATTATAAACGCTCGTTTGAATCTAGTACAAATACGACAAAAAAAGTTCGTGGTCGTGCTAGCAACTATATTGTAGTCGTACCGTGCCGTGCCTAAATGTTGTGACAGCATTAACTGTGACGCGTTGTAAATGGATAGAGTGTAGGAACATTAGTGGGAAGTCATTTCAGTGTTACGGCATGCCGTACCGTGCCATGCGTAAATGCTCTGACTTTAAGTGTGACGGTACAGACGTGCCGTTCCGTGACCATGACAACGCTCTTCCCTTAATTCTGATTGGTTGGTTGATGTCGTTAAACGGCGCCCTATGCCGTGATTTTTCATCCTCTCTTTTAAAAACCTCACAGAACATGGAATGAGTGCATCTCTAAACACCAATATTAATTCCCTGATGCATGCACATCTGTAAAACTTTCCGATAAAACTTAAATCTCTGGGCATGCATAACTGTCTCTAATCAAGAGACAACCTCAGTTGCACCACTTGGACATTTGCATGGCATGAATTCTTCCAGGTAAACGGAGGTGTGTAACTATGTTTTTTGACTTTTGTGCATTTCTCACCTCGCAGGGAGGAAACAAACCACTAGAAGAAAAGATCCTACAGGTAACTCTTAAAAGACCGTTTTATCTTGGGCGTAATGGTTAGGCGCATTTCAGACCACTTGTCGTTCTCTTAAGAATGATTTTTTTGTTGAGTTGAATCCATATTCATGTGTTTTCTTATTCGCAACCGTTAAACAAAGAAATAATAAACAAATTTTGGGCACAAATTATGCTATATGGTTTTGGCTGTTCCTTTCCTGTTTGCATGAGGCTAACTGGTAGTGCTTGAGCCTTTTCTTTTTTTCTGTTTCTTCTTTATGTATATATATATATATATATTTTAGGGGGGAGGGGGGGTCTTTTTTTCATGAAAAAGAAGTACTATATAGGGTTCTAACTTTACCTTCAAAATATTAATGCGCGGGGCTCTAAATTCTTGGGTTTTGTATTCAGGTAAATCCCCTGATGGAAGCGTTTGGTAATGCTCGTACAGTCATCAACGACAATTCCAGTAGGTTTGGCAAGTACCTGGAGCTGCACTTCACGTCTGATGGTGCACTCACTGGAGGTAAGAGCCGTGTCTATTATGGAGAAGTGCTAAAGAGCACGGGAAGCACGCGTGACCCGGGTTTGATTTTGGACTCGGCGTCGTATGTCAGTAAAGTTGTTTGTTGGTTCTGTCATTTGCTTTGGGGGTTTGTTCTACGGGTTCTCCGGTTTTTCCTACCTCCACAAAAATTCCACTTCTAAATTCTAATTCGTTCTATCGGTAGCATTATCAAGTGGGTTACTAAACCTTGCACGGCTTCTCGTTCTCCGCGCAGTGATAAATCCGATAAGAGAAGGAAGGAAGAAAACTGTATAGGATTTCTAGTAATTTCCTTGTTAATTTGTATGTTATATCTCTTTAGCTTCGCTGAGCGAATATCTTCTGGAGAAGTCAAGAGTGGTCTTTCAATCATCGTAAGTACACCTAGCTTCTAGATCTACTTGAACAAGTAAAAATTACCAACTGCAACATTATTATCAAATAAAGGTTTTGCACCATCACGTGCCCACGCCAATAAAACCGCTTGGGCTGCCTGTGGCTAGATGACAGAACAATAAAATACCTTTGCTCTTGGAATTGAATTTGTCATGCCGCCAAGTGGTGGTGCAAAACCTTTATAACACCAAACGCAAAAGACTGCACTCGATTTAAAAGTCAAGTAACTATATTTGACGTCGATTTTTCTTGAGTTGAAGTTCAACCTCCCTACCCCATTCAGTCATGCGTTTAAAGGCTATTTAAAGCCAAAGCTAAACCGATTATAGAGAAGTCAAAACAAGAGTGAGATAACTGGGATTGAAATACAGTCCTCTGACTTACTTACAGCGCATTTATCAACTTTTTAAAACCTGAAGCGCTCATCATTTCAGTCAATCCATCCGGTTGGAAATAAATGCGTTCGCTAATGGAAAGAAAAGAGCGGGAAACTATGAATTTCAACAAATGGTACACGAAAGAACCGAAAAGAGCGGCAAAAATAGATAACTCTCAATCGAAAGTCCTAGTTTTCCGGATTTTTTCAATGGGAATGACATTACGGATTTTCCCGGGTAAATGGTAAGCGCCCCTGAACACCTGAACAACAATCAGGAGGTCACGGGTTCGATTCCCGCCTGGAGGACTAGGGGTTTATTTCTCGGGGACAGTATTAGCGTGATGGAACACATTTACATATTGGCCAAATTTGTTTCTGTTAAATTTAGTTATTTTTCTATTTTTTTCTGTTTTCAGTGAGGAAAGAAACTTTCACATTTTCTATTACATGATAGCTGGCCTTGCTAACCAGAAGAAACTGGAGCAGTATTCCTTCAAGTTGTACTCCCAGCACTCGTAAGGGTCATTGAATTATTTTCTTTCTTTAGTTATGTAAGAAAAGGGATGGCGAGACTGTTTTTCTCCTTTCTCATGTACCTCACAACACAGGAGTGAAGGGCAATGTTTCTATGTTTCCCAGCACGTATAAGGGTCATTGAATTATTTTCTTTCTTTAGTTATGTAAGGAAAGGGGTGGCAAAACTGTTTTTCTCCTTCCTAAGGTACCTCACAACACAGGAGTGTAGGGCAATCTCACATTTATTTGCCAATTCGACATATACATGTTGCATCGCTACGTCATACCATTTTATTTAATCATGATAAACCACTAGTCTGATTTGACTAAAAGAAAATATTAGCGCTTGGCATGCGCGCACATCCCTGTAAGCCAAAGACTCTTGTAAGAATGTAAACATTGACAACTGTTTGATAGTAACTGGAGTTATATCCAAAGATTGTAGCATATCAGTGCGCTAACTACAAATGTCTCCATTGAAGTCATCAATGATCTAATATTATTGTATCTCTTCAGCTATCTTCAAACAGGAGGTAGAAATCTTCAAGATGTGGTCTGCACGATGGGAAACAAGAAAAGATTCGAAGAAGTACAAAGGTGTCTTGACGTTATTGGCTTTTCGTCTGAGGTACGGTGAATGGGGCCTGATAGCAACTCGCGCTTCTGTCTGTCTGTCTGTCGGTCTGGCAGTGTGTCTGTCTGCCAGTGTGTCTGTCTGTCTGTCTGTCTGTCTGTTCTAGTCTACATACATATCCCTCTCAACGTAATGTTTTGTGCTTTATCTTTTTAGGAGGTTTCATCTTTGTTCTCAGTGTTAGCTGCCATCATTCACATCGGAGATATCGTTTTCATTGAAGACGAATCAGTCTCACATCTGAGCGACAAGAGTATGGTCAACAACCCTAAAATGCTGGTTGTCGGTGAGTTGCTTACTAATACAACCTTTTTTTACCAATCCTGTGTAATAAGTCATTCACTAAATAGATAAATATTTTATTTTGTGTTATTGCTTTCAGTGTCAAGCCTTCTAGGTATTAATGCAGTGGAGCTGAGAGATGCCTTAACAACTAACAGCAATGTAACACGAGGTATGTGATTGACTTTATAAGTGTTTCTTTGCATTATGTAGGCGAATGATTGATAAAAAGACTGAGGTGAGACCATGGGGGAGGCCTGGGGACATTCATGAAATAAATACTGTTCTTTAAATGCATTCATTAAATAAATAACATAAAACTGACTTTTTTGGTGTATCAGGTGAGACCATCGTACGTAACAACACAGTAGATCAAGCAGTGGATTGCAGAGATGCCATGGCCAAGGTAAAATGCATCTTGACTTTTTGTTGTTGTATGTATTTAAGAGCACTAGGACAAAGCCGTTCTRCAATAGACCCTTTGCCAAAATGGCGACCGAAGATTGAATGATGAGTTAAATTGAAAAAACAAGTACCAGCACTGGAAAGAGCACCTTTACTTTAGTAACCCTACAAAGATTCATTATGTCAGGCGACAGCAAGGTCTTGCAACTCGTTTGTCGCAACAACAAAACAAATGCGACAAACGAGTTGTTTCCTTTCTGTTGTTTGTGTCTATTTGGTTGTTACACGTTGATTAGTATTTTTTATTTAACGGATTAAATGCCGTAATATGAGCAACATTCTTTCTTTGACTTGAAACACACAACTTTAGTGCTAAATATTGCACGATTTTGTTGTGCTTTTCACTTCAGTAAAGCATCCTTGTCTCAGCCCTACAAAGTCAATGATGATGAATATCACCCCATTGTAACTCTTTTTCTTGTCACAGGCTCTGTATGGACGACTATTCAGTTGGATTGTCAAGAGAATCAACGTTCTTCTGAGAGCTTTTTCGGATCCAATGGGGTAAGACTTGTCCGATTCTTCAAAAAATACTCATATTTATATTCTACAACTATCACTCCCCGTACGGGGCTCTTCCGTGAGGTTCCCTCTATACGCACTAGCACTACATTCTATACTTACAACATACAAGATACATACATGTTGATTTACGGAGGAAGGAAAACCCGAGAACCCGGATAGAACAACACATCAAACAGCCGGGGCTCGGACCCGGACCACAGCGGTGAGAGGCCGGCGGTAAACCACTACGCCATCCATGCCACCCATGGTGACAACCACATCATTACGTAAGTTGACGGCTTTGATAAAATTAATTGGAAATTGTTAATTCTCTTTCAGGGAAAATAACTTCAAGATTGGTATCCTGGATATATTTGGGTTCGAGAACTTTAAGAGCAATTCTTTTGAGCAGTTGTGTATCAACGTTGCCAATGAGCAAATCCAATTCTACTTCAACCAGCAAATCTTTTCGTGGGAATTGGTAAGTAGGACTTTGCAACACCTGCAACATCTGCGGAGCAGACAAGTCGTGGACCTCTGAAAACCTTAGCAATCCGACAAATTGAAGTACATAAGCCAAAATATTAACCTCCCCCCCCCCCCCCCCCCCCAAAAGAACTCAAAATGTTGATGTTCTTTTAACTAAAAGACGATTTTTGCTAACAGAATTTAAATGAATATATATTATACTGACCAAGTGACAGTAGACATACCGACCGACCAACAGAATGAAATTTGACGGAAAACCATTTATTATATGCATCGGGCAGAATGGGGCGTCACATCCGGGACATTTTTGAGCTCAAAAGCGCCAAATTCAAATGTTCAGCTCGATTGCTCGCGCTCATTTACGAAGAAAATAGGCCAAAATGGCCGTAGTTGTCATCAAAAACGCTTATTTCTGGCATGAAGAAGCACTTAACTTAAAAAGTTTTCATACGGCTTTTGTAGAACTAGAGTTCCACTTGCAAGATCCGAAAAAAATAACTTGAAAAATCGCATATCTTTGCCATTAAATGCTATTTAAAGTTTGCCTATATGAACGAACTGAAGTATGAAGATTTTTTAAAGAGCTGATGATTTAGCTCATATTTCTACAATCACTTAAGAAGTCAAAAAGTTTTCATATGGGAAATGTTTCCAGACATCGAAGGATTACCTCTGCGAAATTTCATTGACTTTCCATAAATATTTTTGCCATTAAATGGAATTTTTCGAAAACAGATAGCGAAATGCATACTGATCAGAGTGGTTTAAATCTACCGCGGCCTCCAAAAGAAACACAAGCTCCGCCTACTGGAACCACCAAGCG